TAAATGTGAGTAAGAAAGAAAACCAGGATAGCTCACATGCCCCCACCACTCAGGCAGGAGGCAAATGGCTATTTCCAACATTGAGCTGTGATGATTCTGGCATCCGCCACTGTACTAGAGGAGGAGGAAGAGGAGGGTCAATTTTGCTTATCCCCTTGTATCCCTAAAGTGGCAGAAAAGTGCTGAAATTCCCCCTCTACCCATCCATTCAGCCTGGATGAAAGGGAGGCCAGTGGCAACAATAACCTCTTTCCCTCCAAATAAGGATGTGGAAGCATTGGAAGCACTCAAACATCTGCTCAAAGAGAAGACAAGGGAGTTGCAAGTATGGTCTCTCATACTTGAAAGAGAAAAGGAGCTGGTGGTTGTGTGAGGTGGTAGCAAGTGGTTGCACCCCAGGTTCTTTCCAGAATGGGGAAAAAACTAAAATGAGATGACCTGGAAAAGGTGAGCCGTCCCAGTGTAAATCAACAGGCTGGTACATCTACCCTAAAAAGCTAAAGAAGCACTCCTAGTGAAAGAAACTGAAGGAAAGTTTCCATCATGCTCTTATTTTCAGTTCTGATTAAGCTCTTTCTGAGGATGACTAAATGGGCATTTAGCCCCCTGTTTTATCTGCTGCAGGGACGGGCTTGTTCACAGCTGAAGATAGTGATCCAACAATGTTGGATTGAAACAGACCACCCACCAAGCGGTCTTACCCGCACCTTTCTGAGCTTCTGTCAGGGGTGTCTGCTTTTTTTGGTGCTGGTAAGATTGCTCTCTTTTGCTCAATTTTCAGCATGTGTGATTGCTAGAAAAGGACCTAAAGAAAGTCTTCTAATTTGCCAATATCATGAAGGGGCTTAGTAAGACAATATTGGCAAATTAATATGTTCTCCAGCTATGTTTTTTAAAAAATGTGTTTATTATTTATATATGCTGCACTACTTTAAAAAAGCAAAACAAACATAAAGTTTCCTTCTGGGAAGTACTCCTAAGGATTCTGCGGTGCCCCTGGCTGGATTTGGCAGTGCCTGGGGCACCACAGCGCACAGTTTGGAAACTACTGAATAAAGAAATTAGAGATGGGGCCAAACCGCCAAAATAGTGGTTCATCTTGATTCGTGCCTTGTCAAAGTTGACAAACCATGAATTTTCACTGAGTTTTCTGACGAATCACGAATCGGTTTGTCAGTTCTGTGTTTGTTTTTTTTAGACAGCCCGAAGTTGTCTAAATAAAGCACAGTCTGAGCCTCCCCCAGTCTGTCCCACCCCTTCCCACTGCCCCCGTTGTCTCCCTACCTTTTCCTCCTCCACCACTGCCACCACTGCAAATATTGCACTTCATTTTTAA